AATGGAATCATACAGTGTTTGCCTTGGCTTATTTCACTTTGCATAATGTTCATCTATTTTGTACCATGTTATAGGATTCCCTTCCTTTTTAAGGCTGAATAATCCATTGCAAGCATATACCACATTTTGTGTATCTGTTCATCTGTCAATGGACATTTGGGTTCCGTCCACCACTTGGCTACTGTGAATAGTGCTGCTGTGAACTTGGGTGCGCAGATATTTCTTAGAGACCCTGCTTTCAAATCTTTGAGAAGTGGGATCTCTGTTCCAATTTTAAATGTTTTGAAGAAATGCCATAGTGTTTTTCATAGCGGTTGCACTACTTTACATTTGCATTAACAGTGCACAAAGGTTCCAGTTTCTCCACATTCTTGCCAATACATGTTCATTTCTTTTTCTGTTTTTTGACCTTTCTGATGGTAGCCATCCCCATGGGTGTGAGGTGTCAAAGCATCTTTTAAAGGCCCCCTGGTATTCTGAGGCAGACCAGGTGTGCGAACCACTCTCTTAGCAAATCTTTATGCTTCAGAGACTGCACCTATGCCAGCTTTAAGAATCAGTAAGAGAACATAGAACCTTCTCTCCATTCCAGTATTTCTTCAAAGAGGTGTGTATGCAAACGCTACCTCGTCAAGTTTACTAACTAGTTGTACTGCATTTAGGTTCTTTGTAGCTCAGAATTGTTAGTTTTGTGATTCTGTCTTGCACATTTTTTCCCTGTGGAAGTATTTATTATTATCATTTTTAATTGTGATAAAACATACATAACATAAAATTTACCATCTTAAACCAGTTTAATTGTACAGTTAAGTGGCATTAAGTACATTCAGATTTTGTGTAACCATTACCACCATCCATCTCCAGAATTTTTTCCATTTTGCAAAACTGAAACTCTATACCCATTAGACAATAATTCTCTATTTCCTCCTCCTCCCAGCTCCTGGCAACTACCATTCTACTTTCTGCCCATAAATTTGACTACTCTAGATATCTCATACATGAAATCATTCTGTATCTGTGTATCATAAAAGTGAAATCATATAGTGTTTCTGTTTGCCAGGCTTATTTCAAATAAAAATTTTGTGCACTTTTAAAAAGTATTTAATTAACATTTATGAAGTGTCCTTGGAATAGAATGCCATCTATCATCGAGTCTAGATGCATATCCTCTCCTCTTCAAACACTTTTTGAACATGTCTGAAGGCAACTTAGCATTGTGTAATAATTTAATTGACAGTTTTTGTTTCTTGCACATAAAGTAATGGTACATTTTATAATTGATGGGAACTTATTTTCAGTGACAGTAAGGTAGGTGATTTCTGTAAGGGAAAACAATTACCTAGAAAACATTCATTTAGGGGTGCCCTTACCGCTTCCAGACTGTAAATGTTTTAATTTAACTAAAGAAGAGCAAAGCTATTTGGTGTCATTAATCAGTACATTCGAATCGTTACTCTGAATGATTATGCTTCATTTATTTTGTGTCAGAATGTTTTCCACACAATAATAGCGAATAAAAGTGTGTCATTAATTACACTTGAGCAGCTCATACATGTGTGGGTATATATATATTTCCGTATCATCACACAATGAGGGAAATTTTAACACAAGGAAATATTATTCCTTTTACAAAAGAGTTGAAGATTTAATTAAATAATGATATTAAATTCACAACCATTTATAATTGTGCCTTATAACAGTTTTAAATAATGCTTGAAAAGGTTTGGAGAAACATTTACATATGCCCGTGTCTTCTCTTTCTAAATACAAGGCATTTTTAATTATGGTTTTTATCTTTGGGAGGTAATAGTTACATGCTTTGGAGAAAAGTGTGACTATTTTTTTGAAATGGGATCGATTACTTTGCAGAGCTTCACTGTGATGGGATTTCTGAAAAACATTTAATTACTATAAAAAGTTACAATTCTGTGCATGGGATTTTGCATTTGCCCCTTTACTGGAAATATGGACCCATGCTGATAAGAATGACGATGTCAGTCTGCCCTTGTAGATGTCCAAACTCCATGGCCCTCAGCAGTGCTCCGTTTAGCTCTTACCTTTCTCCGGGCGAGCAGGACTCTTGTCAGGAAACTGCAAAACAAATGAACAAACAAAACCCACTTGCAGTATATAATTGCAATATTATAAAAACGCACGGTATCTTGCTAAGTCCCAAAGGCAGAAGAAGTTAGCTAGCCACCAGTTTGTTTCTTCAGCTGCCCTTATTTTTCAGAATAAATTAAAGGACTTAATTTGTAGTTCAGTAACTTCTTAAAAATGACAAAAAAACCCTCTCTCTCTTCTATAGATGAGAAAATACAGAGACAGGAGACATGTAAGCAGTTTAAGTGATGCTACAGGGAAAAGTGGGTGGAGAACATTTTAGAGATTCTTGGAGAAAGTCATAGTTTCTCTCTGAACTCTGTCCCCCTTTGTAACAAAGCCAAAATAGCTTCAACTCTATTGTTTTTCAAGCACCAAACCATTTCAAATGTTTTTTTTTAAAGCTCTGCTTCATTCTTATAGTGAGCTTCTGATTTATAATTTTTATTGAAATTTTGAGTAATTGGTCAGATCTAGGAATTCTGATTATCAGGCCCATTTCATTTTTACTACATCACACTTGGTGATTCACTGATAATCACATTTCATCCCCCGCTCCCCAATTATGATATCTTTCATTTAAGTATTTTAACATTAATTTCTATAGTTTCAAATTTTTGCTCTAGGCTGTGATTTTTAAAAAGCTGTTGAAGCCCAAATTCTGTTAGTATTGAAAGCACTCTGGATTTTAGGAGGATGTGAAAAAGAAAATGAGATTTAGCACTAAAAATTATTTACATTAGTATTTTGTGGAATATAGTAGTCCATGTATAATTATGAAAAAAGTCATTTATAAAGTATTTTAAAACTATACTTAAACATTCTTTTTAAAAAACTATTTCTTATTGATTTCAGAGAGGAAGGGAGAGGGAGAGAGAAACATCAATAGTGAGGGAGGCTCACTGATCGACTGCCTCCTGCACACCTCCCACTGGGGATCCAGCTTGCTACCCAAGCATGTGCCCTTGATGGGAACCAAACCTGGGGCTCTTCAGTCTGCAGGCTGATGCTCTATCCACTGAGCCAAACCAGCTAGGGCAACATTCTTTTATATATAAAATACATAATATAATTCAAGATATAATTCACATACTATACTATTCACCCATTTAGAGTATGCAATTCAGTGCTTTTTAGTACATTCACAGGCTTGTGTAGCGATCACCACAATTTTATAACATAAGGAAACCTATTTTTAAAAGTAGAGGTATTCAAAGACATCCGGATTGTTTGCAGTTTTTAGATGCTACAAATAGAGCTGCTTAAAAAAAAGTATGTGTGATTATAACAAAATAATTAATCTTCAAATTAATGTCAGAATCATGTCTTTAAAAAACCTTTAATTATACTGTAATTACTTCTCAGCTATTCAGAGACATTTTGTGCCAGTGTGCTGAGCTGGAAAACTTTACTAAATGTGAAATCCTTTTTCTTTTCTTTCTCTCTCTTTTTTTAATTGTTACTGTTATATCAGTGTCTTAGTTTTCTTCATTTTTATTTTTAAAAGTTGTTGGTCAGAAAAGTGAAATGGATGATGTTTGCTTAAACAGATGAGTTTTCTATATTATTGTAAGGGCAATAAACACATGTGTGGTTACTAAATGTAGGCTAGATAACTGTTTTAGCTTATCAAGTTCACACGGATCCTGGGTAGAAAATTTATCACTTATTGAGCAGTGGTTCTCATTATTTGACGCAGATTATAATCACATGAGTATTTAACAATATTAGTACATGCCCAGCCAGCATGGCTCAGTGGTTGAGTGTAGACCTATGAAGGCACATGGCCCGGTTGTGGGCTTGGTCTGGGTAGGGGGTGTGCAGGAGGCGGCTGGTTAGTGATTCTCTCACATCATTGATGTTGCTATCTCTCTCCCTCTCCCTTCCTCTTTCTTTAAAATAAATTTTAAAAAATTTAAAAAATTCTGCAATGTAATTTAATTTAATCTGGCATGGGACCCAGATGCCAGTAGCTAGCAAATACCTGCTCTATAGAAGCTCCTTCCTTTCCTTTCTTTTCTTTCTTTCCTTCCTTCGACATTTATTAAGTGCCCAATGTCTGTTCCAGCACTGTTTTATACTCTGAGGATATAAATAAAATTTGGAGTTCTTACATTTGAGTTGGCAAAAGATGCATAATAAATATTTGTTGAATCGAATAAAATCACAGCTGAGCCCTTTTGGCATACTGCTGTGCTACGCCTCAAATCCTTTATAGAAATCATGTCTTTTTTATATCCAGGAATATTTCAAGCACTGCCTGTCATTTCCTTACTGTCTGTTTCCTTCCCCTTTTATACTGAGGGACACCCCAAATCTAGCTGGCCTTAACTCAGCAGGATCAAGTTGGTCAGCACTCAGTCCTCACTTTTCCATGTGTCACAAACTTACCTGGGTCCCCCCAACAACTGAGTTTTGAGTAAGCTCACTGTTAAGTTAGATGACAGAGACAGGGGACACCCTGACCTGTAAGTCAGAGAAGGCTGTCCAAAGAGGACCTGTGCATTCTGACTTGATGGGTAGATCCCAGCCTTCTACTCAGCTCCACTGTGCACTTCTTCCCTGGGAGCAGAAAGGAGGAGGAATGGTGTGATGCTATACTTGTTTATAAATTTGCGCTGGGTTGATCATCTCTCCTGTGCTTCAAGTTGCTTGGGTATTTCGAAGTTGACTTTACTTATCAAAGGAAAAAAAAGTGCTTACAAGTAGTAGCAAAATGTTCATGGATGTGCCTGTACATGTGCTCATACACATATTTAAGAGTGAGAAAAAGTAGCAGAAGAAGCGGTTTTAATGTTTAATCAGTGTGTGTGTGTGTGTGTGTGTGTGTGTTTGTGTGTGTGTGTTTGTGTTATTTATTTATCTACCTATCTATTTATTTATTTTTTATTTTCCAGCTCCTCAGTATGAAGAAAATATCTTCTGAATAAGAATAAGCAGGTATGTGTTGCTGGATTTTGTATCTTGCTGTGGTGCTTCTAGTGGAAATACAAAATGGAGGAAGAAAGAAAGACCGCAAGGTTTATTAATAAGGCATTCCTTCTGGTTGCGTCTCTGATGCCACTATTGGCATTATTAAATTTATATAATGCAAAATGAATAATACTAATTAGAATTTATATATGCAGTAGTGAATACTATTAACCAGCTAAAACATGTCCCATTGTGCTTTTACCTTATAAATGAAGTAATTAAAGTTTAGCTAGTGAGGTTCTTCCTCAACCCTCAATGTTTGAACTTTTTATTCGGGCCTTTTCACTTTGTAAATAAGTTATTCTTTGGACGTGTATGCATTGGTGTATGTATTTTAAAGGATTTTGTTGGAAACTATAAGTACTCCAAAGGAGCTTCTGTGTGGCCACCATTAGAACAAAGCTTCCTAATTTCAGTGTCATTAAGTAAGCAGCTGGAGCAGCTGAATTCAAAGGAACAAGCATAGTTATTGACTGATTTCTCTAAAAACAGCCCAAACAAAGCATTTCCTTAAGCAACATTGAGCAGGATTTGGAACTTCCTATGCTTCCAAAATGTCTTAGAAAGGTTTACGGAAATGCAAAGGTCAACATTACTGCATGCGATTCCTCTCCTCCACCTCCAATCCATGGTAATTGACTTCATTGAAAAATCTTGTATTTTAAAGTCATAAAATCATATGATCAGAATCTCTAGGCAAAAAAAACACAAATAAAAAAATACAAGAAATAGCCAATGGAAGTACATGCTCATATCAGTTACTCCCAGATAATTGTTTGTAATGTCAGGGCGGCAGGATGGTACAAATGCTGCTTAGTTTAAGAAAAAGAAAGTTTCAAAAGTTGTAGCTTATATTACAGTGATCATGTGCTATTTTTACGTTATTTCATTTCTTGTAGGTAGTTAAGTGGAGTAATCTTTAATATGAACTTCTATAAACATGTTGGAATTGATAGTGATCAGGAGTTGGCCAGAATTCATTCATGTATTTTTTCATAGTAATCATGCTTTCATTCGTTTTTATCATAATCATGCTTTCTTCAGTTTTTCTTATATTTTTGTTGGGATATAATTGACATATCTATACTAATAAAAGAGTAATATGCTAATTATACTGGAAGACCTTCCAGATATCTTTTGGGACAAAGCAATGGTGGCGGAGCTGAGGCAGAGGTGGTTAGGGACAATAGGCTGGCAGGGGAGAGCAGTTAGGGGTGATCAGGTCGGCAGGGGAGGGCAGTTGGGGGCAGTCAGGTGTACTTTCAGGTGTACATGATTAGGTGGATATTTGTATATAATTATTGTGAAATGATCATCACAAAAGTATACATAACATTCATCACCACACATACTTATAATTTTTTTCTTGTGATGACAACTGTTAAGATGTACTCTTAACAACTTTCAAATTCACAACACAGTATTATTAAATACTAGAGGCCTGGTGCACGAAATTCATGTACAGGGTGTGTGTGTGTCCCTCAGCCCAGCCTATACCCTCTCCAATCTAGGATATCCCTCTCACAATCAGGACTGCTGGCTCCCAACCGCTCACCTGCCTGATTGCTTGATTGCCCCTAAGCACTCCCCTGCCAGCCTGATCAACACTGAATTGTTT